TCAAATATTCAGTCAGGTTCAGATTTCCCTGATTATCTCATAAGTGGTTTTTAGAACTTTAAAATTTTTTTCTCTATTTTTTCTGTTTTATTATTTAGGTCTACATTTTGAAGTAGTTTCAAACTAACAAAAACTTTTGTGAAATTAGTACAAAGAATTCCTGTGTACCCTTTACCCAGATTCCCCAAATGGCAGCATCATAACTCAGCAGAATTATCAAGATCAGGAAATGCTTGTTGATAACAATCCTAGAATCTGGAGCCCTTCCTCAGAGCAGACCCACTAACACCCCTTGTCTGCCCCAGGACCTCACCCCGGCTCACACGCGGCCTCTGGGGGTCAGGCCTGTTAGTGGCCTTCAGTCTGCAACAGTTCCTTGGTTCTTTGTCTTTTGTGACTGTGACACTTTTGAAGAGTACTGGTCAGTTGTTTTTTGGAAAGTTTCTCAGTTTGGGCTTGATATGTTTTTTTAAGCAACCATAAGTTTTTCATCCAAATGGAGACACTTGCAAGTAAAAAGTTGCTCAATTCACAACTGCACAGAGATAGCGGGTGTAAAGCAGGTCAGCGATGCCCCATGTCCCCGATACTTATGTCACTCTACTCAGTGTTCTTTTGGGTTCTCTCCCTTCCTTTCTCCCTTGGAATAAACATGTGCTGAACTTCCAGCATTCTGTATGCTGTTGGTCATATCCTCATAGTGCCATTTAACATGTTTCTCCATCCCTGTATTTCCAGTAAACTGGCCCCATCAATTCCAGTTTTTGGCCAGACCCTCTTAAGCGTCTGCCTTCCTTCACTTGGGGAATGCCACTCCTGATTCTGTCAATCTCCACAGTGAGACACAGTCTCCCTTAAAAGTTGGTTTTCCAAGGAGGCTGGGTGGCTTAGTTGGTTAAGCGTCTGACTTTTGATTTCAGCTCAGGTCATGATCTCGGGGTTGTGGGATGGAGCCCCACATCGGACTCCACACTCAGTGGGGAGTCGGCTTGAGATTCTCTCCCTCCCCCTCTGTCCCTCCCCTTGCTTTTCCCTGTCTTTCATTTTGTGTCTCCATATACCTCCCTGAATGATCTTATTTAACCACCATCTATATGCTAATAATTTAAAAATGTCCACCTTCAGCCAGTACCTCTCTTGGGCTCCAGACCATCTTCTACTGTGTAGTAAGGAAGATCTGTCTAAAATTCCATGCGATTGGGTCACTTCCCTTTTTAACATCCTCCCCGTTGCCTTCAGGATCAAATCCAAATTCCTCACTATGAATTTGAGGACCCTTATGACCCAGCCTCCACAGATTAGCCCAGCATCATCTCGTAGTTCCCGTCCTGTGCCACAGTTCCTAATGCTGACATGGTCCCTGGGCTCTAGGCTCTGCCCTCTGTGCTAACTCCCCTTTCTCCCTTCCTCATCTGGATGAATCCACCCGGGAACCCCCTTTGCCAGGAAGCCTTTCCAGTGGCCATGGCTGGATGAACTCACTAAGTGTTTATCCCCACAGATGATGAGTCCTTGGATAGTAGATTTGTGTTTCATTTCTATCCTCATTGCCTGAAACGTCACTGGCACTCAGATGTTACTGAATAAATAGTGAAGGTGACTGGAGATAGTACAAATTCCTTTTCCTTCAAACTTTAAGTTAGGGCCTTATATGGCTGTAAGGGTATGAAGGACAGGGAGCTGTGCAGTCCAGACTCACCATCACCAGCTCACCATCTGCCAAACTCTTACTCTCATGTTAAGGCACAAGGATGAGTAAGAATACGGCCCTGAATCTTCCCTCCCAGCAGAAAACACAGAAAAAGTGTAGCCCTATCTCACGGGCATCAAGTGTTGTGAGGATATGGGGGGTAAAGGGGATGAACTTGACTAAGGGAATTTGAGAACTCCTAGTGATTTGAATTGGACCTTAAAATACGGCAAGATTTGATACTGGCTTTGGGGAGGGGGCATCTTGAGCAAAAGCTTAGCTGCAGCACCTGCAAGGAGCATTCCGCTTTGGGATGACTGTAGGCTAGGGTGTGCGAAGGAGGAGACCATGAGGGAATGCTGGAAAGGTATGCAGTAGGGACCAAGCTGTAGAGGCATTTGAAGGCAAAGGAGTTTGGATTTGTCCTGACTTGTCTCCCCACAGCTATGCCTCCGCATACCTCAGATCGGGGGTAAGAACAAGGCTTTACAGAGGAGGTTGAAAAAGTTGGAACGGTAAGGGTGGACAGCTTTATCAGTCCTTGCAAGGATAGAGCTCATTATGTTCCAAAAGCTCCTGATGGCAGAACTGAAGAAAAAGTAGTGATGAAAGCTTAAAAAGTATTTTTCAACTACTATTTTTGTATTCATGTTGGAGGGAAGGATGAATAGACAAAATCAGTATAAATTTGAATGTTTGGGCTTCAGAGATGACTTACATTGTGTAGACAGTCCCCACCCCACCCTGTTCCTGTTTGCACATAACAGATTTATTAGGCTTCACCCTTGACTCTGCCCTTGTCATACAGCAGTGAGAAGGAAGGTGAAGGTGTCTGCGCCTGAGGGCTCAACCGCCGTAGGGATGCCTGGGCCTGGGGCCTCCTTGCTACCTCCCCCATTGCTACTTCCGTTCTTCTGGTCACCCCGACAGGAAGCTGTGGAGTCACGGCTGACTTTCCTCTGACCTCATCCCCCACATTCAAACAGTGGCCAAGTACTTGCAAATGTCCCTCTTGGCTTTAGAATCCTCAAGTGGCAGGTTGGGCTGGTCCTCCAATTTGCTGGCTCCTGGACTCACTGGCTTCCTTTCCGTGCACATGCAGCAGGTGTTACCCAGCTCCCCTGCTGCTGTGCCTGGGTGGGCACCCCAGCTCTGCGCTCTGGGAGGCATGGCTCCGAGTTCTTTCGTACTGGGTAAATGGCATGTAGTTGGCAGTGAGTCAGTTTGTTGCTGCATGAAGACAAACTCTTCCCCACCCAGTCATGCTTCAATCTACTAATGTCTAAAGATGTTGGATCCAAACAGAAAAAGAAACCCATGTACTTTCCTTACACATCTGGAACCACCCACCCTCATCCTGTCTTTGAGAGTTAACACTTCCTCTTGACAGGAGCTCCTTAATGGAGAAGCCTCTTGGCCAATCAGTGTAACAACCCTGTCCCTCCCATGTTTCAAGTCCATTCAGGTTTCTGCCTCCCTACCCCTGATACGCCCACAGTTGGCCCCAGTCAGCACCACCCGTCTGTCCGCCTTTTAGCTCCTTTCTGCAAGAAATCCTCAGCTCTGTTGTTGGACACCCCATTGCTCACTCACCTACCCCCCTACCTTTCCGAAGTCCCCTACTCCCCATTCTTTAACTGGATGGTCTGAACATACTTCTTAACTGGAAATTTCTTAACTTCGTGGATGAATTTTAGTCATTAGCAGTGAGGACGTATGAGAGAACTAGTCGACAGGGGTTTCCTCCTGAAGGACATAAAATTTGTGCAAGCCATATAGGGTGAAGGCCAGCCCAAGGCCACTGTCCCTCCCTATGGAGCCACAGTCTCCTGGCCAGAAACCTGGATGCGAAACCATACACACCTCAAGTTCTTGGTTGTAAAAACCTCTAGGCACACCTCATTTTAAAAAATTTATATCATAGGCTCCCAATGGCACAGCACTTTTGGGAGCCCTCCTGGGCTTGCCACATTTTGGGTCTACAAATGTGTGTGTTGCTTGAGAGGTTAGAAGTCCTGACTTCTGACTCTGAGAATTTAGGGTCCCTAAGATTCAGCTCCAGAAGAAAGAGAAACATTTGTAAGAGGATTCCATGTGTTTTTTAAGTGGGGAGATTCATGGAAATGAGAATTTGGGGTCATGGCAGTCCCATGAGAAATGGGGACAGTGCCTCCCTGTGCAAGGGGACATCACAGAGGAGCCCTCAGTCTCCATTAATGACCAGACACAGCTTTGACCTCTTGGCTCGTTGCAGGAAATGGTGGCAGAGGGCAGAGTCCTGCCTGAAGGTGCTTTATTTTCTCTCCCAGGGAGCCATCCGGCCCAGCCAAGCCCTAGACTCCTCTGGCACTGTGGTAGCAGGCTGTTTTGTAGGTGTTGATATTGGTTCTTGGCATCTGACCAGAAAATAGAGAGCTTTGGAGGATGGATGGAAATGATCACATTTAAACTAGCATTCACTTCTCAAATGTCCCAGACTGGCCAGCCTGCCCTCCCCAGCATGGGTTTGGCCCCTTCACGGAGGAGGGCACACAGACCCGGACAGACACAGGGCCCACCTTGTGACCTTCTGGACAGGTGTCTTGCGCTGCCTTTGCTGATAGCTATGTCAGAGGCCAGGTGGCACCTGGGCCAGCTAGCTTCTTGCAGAGGTGGCCCCTTCCTGGGGGGGACCGGTGTGGGCAGCACCCTGGTGAATGTGCCCCCATCTGGGGCTGCAGAGCCCAGTGTCTGGAGGGGAGGCAGATCTGGGGCCTTAGGGACCACGGCTCTGGGGCTCAGGGCTGGAGTTGTGGCCAAAGCAGGGAGGGCGTCTTACATTCTGGTGGCTGCGGCGGTCGCCTGTCAGCGCTCACGCGGCTCGCGGACCCCCCGCTCCACCTCTCCCACGCCCCCTACCGCCTCCTCTGGGCTGTAGCTGCAGGGTCTGAACCTCCTTCATTGTACATGTCTTCATTTTGCCAATGAATTTCAGTCATTAACATGAATGGATACATTTTACTTTTCTATGTATATTGGCACAGACTCTGAAAGCATTTTTAGGGAATGGCCTGACAATAGCTATAAACTGTCTCCACCATTTAATATACAGAAAGTCACATGGTGCATCTGTTTCAGATTGGGATCTTGCATGGACGCTAACTGCGGGATGAATTGTCCGGCCCCACCTTTCTTCCTGCTCCGTTAAACAGTGATCTCAATACTACCTGATCCCAGAAGCAAAAATCTTCTGTTGGCTGCCCTCTCTTAGCGCGCGATGTGTGCCTGTTGCTCCAAAGCGTGAACTAAAGCCGTGCTCTCTTCCCTGCAGAATTTCCTACGACCCCGCCAGGTACCCGAAGTACCTGCCCGAGGCCTATTGCCTGTGTAGGGGCTGCCTGACCGGGCTGTTCGGGGAGGAGGACCTGCGCTTCCGGAGCGCCCCGGTGTACATGCCCACCGTCATCCTGCGGCGGACCTCGGCCTGCGCGGGCGGCCGCTCGGTGTACGCGGAGGAGTACGTCACCGTGCCGGTGGGCTGCACCTGCGTCCCCGAGCAGGAGAAGGAAGCAGACAGCATCAACTCCAGCATGGACAAGCAGGGCACCAAGCTCCTGCTCAGCCCCAGTGACAAGCCGGGCCGGCCCTGAGGCCCTGCCGCTGTCCGAGGCCCCTCTCCCTGGAGCGCGCGGGCTGGTTCCACCTCCCAGGAGCGAAAACGAAGACGGAAAAAGGAGTAAAGGACACAGCTGAAGCGGAGAGGTTTCTGACCCGCCTGCTTGGCAGCTTACTGTCACACAGCATCATCCCCTGGTTTTCTTTGAGGCAGAGAAGCACAGGGTCGGTGAAGGCTGCCGGGAAGTTACCCGGTACATGGCAGCAGGCAGGGAACGGGAGGGCCAGGGCCTGCCGAAGGTGGCTGGAGCCTGGCAAGCGCATAAGTGTCTTCGTGGCCCTCCCTCCGTGGCCCTCCAGGCTCAGACCCTTCCCCCAGCTACAGTGCAGCGTCCTTAGGACCTCTGGGAAGCGGTGCGAGCCTTCACAAGATAGATGGTAGGTGGGTGCTTCTAAAAGAGGGCTTTTTTTTTTTTAAAGTAGAATATATACCTACTTTTTTGTTCAGTGTTTTCAGTGAGGCAGAAACTATTTTTATATTAGGAATTTTGAGTATATTAAAAATTTTTTACTTGACATGTAAGTATTTTATAACCATTTTGTTTTCACTTCCTCTGGTAAGATTTTTTAGAAGCACAACTGGAATCCTCAGGTAAACTTTTTAGCTGGCACTGGGGCCCGAGTCCCTGAATTCAGCCTGTCCCCGGTTGCTGACCATAACAAAACGGACAGGGTTGAATGTGACCTCCAGTGAAGATTTTCACAGGCCGCTCCATGAATAAAAGAGAAGCACAGGAGGCTCAGCTCACCCAGGGCCGCCAGGGATTCCAGGAACCTCAAACGTGGTTTGTTCGTGACTGTGTAAATGGCCACAGATCTATACAATTAAATACTTTTTCACTTTTGAAAATAAGTGGGGCCAAATAAAAGGTGGTGGGACAGGGCGAGAGGTGGAATGTGCTATCTTTGTCAATTCTCAGAAGAGTCCAAGTCTTAGCTTAGTTTTAAGGGCTTCAGGAACTAGCCAAATAGGAGAAGCAGCCAGCTTACGATTTCTAGAAATCAGTATTGGGGGCCTCTTTTTCTACATCCTTCAGTGTGAGCTAAAACCATACTCTCTTCTGTAGCCTGGAAGTTTGTCCTTGAACACAATTATTTGTAAAAGTGACAAGTTCTTTTTAAATGATTAAAGCAATTGTAGGTGAAGGGCATGTTGGCTGTGTGCATTTCTCTCTCTGGGCTCCACTCATTTTTAGAGGAAACTATTTTAGTCTTCACTTTAATTTTAAATTAAGATCTGATTTGGTCTTTGAAAGATCAACTACTCCTACAAAGTCAGTCTCTCTTCTGTGACACCCCAACCAAGCCAAGAAGTGTCCCTTATTTATATGTATTTTTTTAAGATTTTTTTTTTTAATTTGTCAGAGAGAGCACAAGCAGGGGGAGTGGGAGAGGGAGAAGCAGGCTCCCTGCAGAGCAAGGAGCCCGACTCGAGACTCGATCCCAGGACCCTGGGATCATGACCCCAGCAGAAGGCAGACGCTTAACTGACTGAGCCACCCAGGCATCCCTATTTATATGTATTTCACTCTCAAACTTCAGCTGTCAGTAACAGAGCTTTAGCTCCTTAGTTACCAAGTATTAGCCTTAGTTTGATCTACATGGAAGGTTCACTGAGAGAACTTTCAACTTGTATTAACAGAGGTTGTATGTGAAAAATACATTGCTGAGCAAAATCCAGATTTTCCAAAAATTCAGAAATTCAAAATTGAAAGTGCTAGCTGTGGATAGTTTTGTACAATCTGGGGAATTTTACTTCTGCATTTCATCTCTGGGGGAGTGATGTGTGTGGAAAAGTATCCCCAGTGGTAGTATATCTGGAATACATTCTTGTCCGGAGCAATCTTTCACTGCCAGCTCAAAAATAATATCAAACCCATAAATTAAAAAGAAAAACTGCTTTTAAACCAGTGGCTTGGGTAATCGTTACATTCATTGACACTGTTGGGTAACATTTTCCAGCTACTCAAATATTAATAGTGCAAACATCAGAGGAGACTAGACTTAAGGAGAGTAGACATTTGGGGAAATTATCACTGTTTTATTTTTATTATTAGTTTAACTAATTAGCTTGTGAAAATGTAGCAAATTCCCTGTGGAAGAAATTTAGCTTTCCATTCTATAGAACCGGAAAGGCAACCTTTCTTTGTGTTTTCTCTCTGAATGGACTATTCATCCACTTAATATTTATTGAGCACTTGCCCTGTTCCAGGCACGGAGCCCCTGAGAGCCATCTGTGAAGCAGGCACAGTCTCCGTCCTCGGCCAAAAGCAGACCCTGCACGGGCTGTCAGAGCACAGTTAGGCACTGGCGGGCCCCTCCTCACAGAAAGTGCGGCCCCATGAATCTGAGCCACATTTTCCTCCTTTATAAATGGATGGTGCCGCCTCCCTCAGTCCTTGTGAGGACCGCACACCATCTGTAAAGCACAGCGCCTGGCACATAGGAGGTATGAGAACATACTGGCCGCAGTGACTTATAAGCTACATTGAAAATATCAAGCTATTCTTTCTTCATGTTATGTTTATTGCTTTAGCAAGGATAGATCATTACAATGACTTTTTGTATAAAAGGTTAAAAAAATCTATCCCTAGGCAGCAGCAACCAGATAGAATATGTTGGAGTGAATGTTAACTAATGGGAATTAAAATTAAAACTTGAAAAAAGTATGTTGGGAGGGAGAGGGTGGTGATACGGTCTGGGGAGACCCTGGTATTGGGCAGAATTTTGTTCCCTTGTTATACCAACAGGGTGTTGAGGAGCAGAGAGAGGTTGTTACTGTGTTTTATTAAAGCTCTGGGGAAGCTGCCGGCCACAGCAGTCCTGCCAGCCGGAGTTGAGGAGCGGCCCCTCCCGCGCGGGCCTAGGCACCTGGCTCACTGGTGCCCACGGTGAACGCAGCGGCGCCGCGTGGGCCTGGCCTCTTCAGTTTCCAGGCTTCACGGAGCAGCCCACTTTGCTAGTGGGAATTTCATGGCTTCTTCCCTCCTCTCCAAGAAGGGCCACGGGGCTGACGTTTCCTTCAAGTAATTCTATCTGGAGGGCTTTCAGGCAGCCCTTGGACTGGACGTACATTGCTGGTTACTGAAGACTTTTTCCAGCCAACTGACAGTATATCTACTGTATGCTTGCTTGATAAAAACAGAATCATTTGGGAATATCAACCAAAACCCATCACAAATGCCAACAGTTCCACATTCAGGGTCCAGTTACCCAAACTTCTCGGTTTGCTACAGGTCTTTTAGCAAGGCAAAGGGAGAAAAGGGTCATCGCTGAGTCTGCTCTGATTTGAGAGAGGAATGGAAGGGAAGAGCGTGACGTTCCCATGGGAAATGGGGCTTCCAAGTGACTCTGGCATTTCATTTGTTCCAGCTGTCAGGGTTCCCCATCACCCCCAAACAACCCCGCGAGGTCATTGTATGGACTTCTGAATTGTCAGCAACACGGAACTTATTATCCTTTCTCTTTCCACTCACGCTATGGTTATTCTGTCTCAGTGCAAATCTCTGAAATTAGCAAGGACTTTAAAAAGGTGTCTCTTACAATATTCTTTTGAGTTTTTGAAGCACTTTGGTCGGGTGGAAAAGGTGAGGCTGCCTCCTAAGAAGTCAGGAAGCTTCTGTGAAGCACGCCATGCAGCGCACCCCCACGTGTGCTCGTGTGTGTCCACCACGCCCCCCCGCAGCCCGGGCTCCCTTGCCCTGCGTGTTGTCAGGCAGCACCGCAGCCCTGACTCCTGTTCTGAGGGTTGCAGAGGCAGAGTGGCAGACCTCTTATGAGATCCAGAAGTGGATCACATGTGGACACAGGTTTGCTAAAATCACAAGGGGTCCAAAGCAATAAAGCACATGTTGGCTGCTTACTATACAACAATGTAATTAAACGTTTAATGAGTCAAGCTCTGGCCTTCCCTCCCCCACCCTCCAGGAAGAAATAAGATTTCTCCTCTTTGAAACGCTAGACTTCTAGGATAACTACAATTCTGTATTTCTAGGCTGCTGCTTGCCCCCAATTCCTAAGTCACACATGACATTTCCATACATGATTTGTCACTAAAATTTGTTACTGGCCTAGGTAATTTTTAGTGAACTGACTCATGAGGAAATAAGAAGGTAGGGGGTATTTTTTAAAGAACAAACATTTATTGAATACTTCACATGTGCCAGGTGCTGATATACTGATAAAAATATAAATGTCTCATAAAAATACCAAGTGATTTTTAAAGTAAATTAAAAATTATCCCAAAGTAGGACCGTCGAAGGCTAAGAAAGAACAGACGGGAGCAAGCCCCCCCCCACCCCGGATGCCCCATTTCCTGAGTGCTGGTGCCAGGGCACCAGGCTCTCCAGGACGGGCTGCACTTTCGCTGCAGTAACCATCCCACAGTCTCTGATTTTCAAAAGCAGACGTATATTTCCTGCTCACCCTCCACATCCACTGCAGGCCCACCACTCCATTCAAGCACCTGCTTGTGTGTGGAAAACTGCCGGTAGCCATGTCACAGAGAAAATAAAGCTCTGCTTGGCACTTCCTTTCATGTTTTGTTAGCAAAGCAAGTCACCTGAGGTGGGGAAGTGTTATTCTTCACCGCCCCCCCTTTTTTAAGTTTTTATTTTGAAATGATTCTAGATTCACAGGAAATTGCAAAAACACTACAGAGGGGTCTTGTGTGTCTTTTACCCAGTTGCCCGCAATGAGAACATCTTGACCAAGCACAGAATCACCCCCAGGAACTGGCCGCTGCGCACCACCCACAGACCTCACTCGGAGTTCACCAGTGTTGCGTGCGTGTGCGGGTTCTGTGTAATGCCAACCGTGGAGTTGTGTGTAACCACTGCACAATCAAGATGCACAAGAGCTGCACTTCCCCTAAGATCTCCCTTTTCTGGTCCCACCCTGCCTCCTCCCCCACCCCCTTAACCTCTGCCAACCACCAATCTGCTCTCCATTCAAGAATATTACATCAATAGTAAGTATGTAAGCTTTGGGGACCGGCTTTTTTCACTCAGCACAAGGCCCTTGAAAGCCATCCAAGTTGTAGGTATCAGTAATGTGCTATGGTGTGGATGAATGATGGATAATTTTTGAAACAGAATAGTCTAGCATGCTTTTCACATCCTTTTTGCTACAGTGTTTGGTTTGCAGATGGCAGTTTCAGTTTCTCCGGGGCCTGGAGCATTGCTGTGGCTTTAGCCAAGGGTGCAGGGGCGGTGTGCACACAGAGGGCACCTGGGCTACGTTCTTGTTGTCCCTTCAAGAACCAGGGCAAGGAGGAAACATCCAGGAGGCTTTCAGATACTAGTTCCAAGGATGATTCTCAACTTCTTTCATGGAGACAAGTCGTGTCTCCTTGAGGGGCTGGAGCAGATGACGGGCCCCTTCACAAGTCCTACAACACCCCAGGAAAGCTGCTGTGAACAATCAGCGGTCCACTGGGTAGAGTCGGAACAGGCCCGTTAAGGGGGCAGACGGCCTGGGGCAGAGGCCTAGGTCCTAATTCAGGTCTTGGCCAAGCCACTAAGCTGTCTGTACTTTGGTTTTTTACCTGTTCTTAGGTGAGGAGAGCAGATTTTAGATAGGTTCTAAGATTTCTTCCCACTATAATTCCATGGATTCAAGTTGGCAAAAGCATCCCGAGTTCTAGAGATGCCTGCAGTCAGGAAGTCATAATGATATCTTATATTCTTTAATATGAAAATTAGGCCAGGGAGAGCCCCACTTTGCAGGGGAGGGGAGAAGGTTATAACTTTTCAATCTACCAAGGAAATAATAAGAGAGAAATGTCACACAGGATCCTTTACATATTATATTACTATCTGCATTTAGATTTCATGGTCTAGCCCAGAATCATAATTCACATAACAGCGAAACTCATTTCCCAGGGTCCGGGTGTGTTTTGGAATAAACTTGCACATCTTCACACCAAGAAGTTTTGCTGCCTCTTCTTCCATGACAGCACCTGAAGGGAACAAACCCAGTGAACCCAAAGCCTGAAATCCCAACCACAGTGCCATTGCCAGTGGTGAAGGGATTCTCGACTAGAATATGTGTAGTAAATTGACAATATCATTCAACAAATACAGGGGAAGGCCAATTCTTTATATCCCTTTTTACTTTCTTCAACACGTTTGCAAATTACCTACTTTTTTCCCTTTTTCATTTAATAAATGGTTTTCCTACCTCTGCAAAACTGAGACACTTAGAAAATTTTAGAAATAAAGTTATATTCCACAAAGTAACATAAGGAAAGTAAATAATTACTAAGAACTAGTGTTTTCTAGTTTTGAGCCAAGAACCGCCCCCACCCCAGCCCCCCTTCTCAGTACTACCTGACCTTGTAAACTCATGGGAGCACATTCACACCAGCTTTTGGCTGAGCGCTCCCATGTCTCACCCACTGCCTGGCACATGGCCACCGCTCTGGACATGGCCCTGGGGGCCTCGGAGCACCTCTCTCGCGACACCCCATCACAGGAAGCGCTTCCCCAGCCAGCCCAGGCCAGAGACCCTGGGCTCATCCCGGATTCTTCCCTTCTCCCCACGTTCTGAGCACAGTGAGCTCTTCCACCTTAATCTCAAAGTGTATCTTTACTCCACACCCCGCCCTCCCTTCTACTGCCACACCTCGTCCCCAACCACAGTCTCAGCTGGACACATCCTCGCGGGGGGCCTGCTTCCACTCCCGCCCTAAAGCCCTTTCAGCACAAAGTGAAAGCGCACTTCTTTAGGCCAACTGGGTCCTGTCAGTTGGGGGCTGCCACCTTGAAAGGCCAGTCCCAACACGGGCCATCCACCTGTAGGGGCCCTCTCACCCCTCCCTCGGCTTCAGCCGTACTCCCTGCACCTGTGCTGCACCGGGCGGTGCTCCCCGCATCCCTCCAAGAACCAGGGAGAGGAGGAAAACTTCAGGGGGCTCTCAGACACTGGTTCCTGGAATTACAACCTCTTCCCATTGCCCCCACCCAGGGGGCCGCCCCTTGAGGTCTCCACTGGAACGTTTCTCCTCCAGGAGCCCTCCAACCCCATCTTAAGGGCACCCATCAATCTCAGTGCCCACCCCGCCCTTTTCTGATTCTTTCACTACACTTGCCAGAATTGGTCATTCATCTCTTCCTTCTGTTCTGTTACAGTTTTTAACCTATCCCCTAAAACTAAAAGGTATGTTCCCTGAGGTCAGAGCGCCAGCCTGTCAGCTGAAACAAATGGCTAGCAAACAACAGCTGAATTAATAAGCCTTAAGTAAACATGACTTGGGAGAACCACAGTCACCTTCTTGACAATTCTCCAACACAACGGAGAACAGACTCCCTGCAGCTCCAGGTCCCTGCCCAGCTCAGCCTGAGGGGCCTCAGCAGCCCAAGCGGCACCCCGGGGCCTGGACAGCAGCCCCCCAACATAGCTGACCAGGAGTTAATGTGCTAGTTCTCCACCAACCCTCTGAATATCCACCTTCAGGAAGTACATAACTCTCACCAGTAAGAAAACTCTTCTGCTGATTAAATAAATCTAATCCAATGTCTAGCTCTGTAACCCTAGGCAATTCATTTTAACATTATTGATTCCACGTTTCTCTTTCATCAAGTGTAGAGGCTGGATCAAATACTGCTACTATTCCTGATGAGGAGTAAAAATCACACAGCCCACTCACCAAGGGCCAGACCCCACTTTATGTGTATCATATCACTTAATACCAGTAACGCTGAAAGGCAGGTAGTATTACCAGTCCCAGTTTACAGATAAGGAAACCCGGGCACAGAGAGGTTATGCAACTTGTGTAGGGTCACACAGTAGGTGGATTCAGGCTTTGGGTTCTGAGATCTCTTCCAACTCCTGAAACCTAAGGCTGGAATATCCCGTCATCAATGTTCCTGAGACGCACAATCAGGCACCTACCTGTGCACAGCAGAATCTTGCCCTGAGTCAGATACTTGATGGTTTCTGATGTTTTTCTGAGACACTCCTTGGAAAGGTAGGGGGGATCTGCTATTACGATGTCAAAACTATGTGCAGCAATTTTTTCAGGTAAATCCAATGGATTATTGTAATCATAGAAGATAAACTCCTCTCCGTATATAGCAAATCTTTTGTCATATTCAAAGATGTATACAGAAAAGTCTTCTCTGTGTAGGGCTCTCAGTTTCTGGTAAACACTGGGGGCGCTCACACAGGCTATTCTAGAAAACAAAAGGAACAGACTCATGAAGATCTTTAATGGACAGCTTATGGTGTTAAGTAACAACTACTTCTCTAAGAAAATACAGGCCCTTGCATTCTGATTTTAATCAGAGTGCAAGCTAATGTAAAGGCAGTAAATTTCGAGAGAAAACTATACTACCTCACTTTCAAGGAATCTGGTGTTTAAAAATCCTGCAACTCATAATTTTAAGGTATGAAAGAATAACCGTGCTTTTTTATAGTAAAAAATGTAAGACATTAGGAACACATTAGGAAGAAAGTTAGATAGCCCAAGGCTTAAATTTGCTTATTATTTTCATGTTGGTCCTTGTTTTGACATTTATTTCCAATACTTTTAGTCTCAAATTAAGTATTTTGAAGTTACTTTGTAATATTCATAATCTAGAGAGGAAAACCCCAAATGATTGCCTCAATAACTTGTTTTCCACAGATACTCTAAAATTCAACCTCAGTGCAGACAAGCTACTTTGAATTTCTGCTTCTTTTTTGTGTAAAGAAATAAAAAAATCTGTTTCATTATAAGCAATCCCTAGATTACGAATGGGTAGTGCTCCAACATTTAACTTAAAATCCAACTACTAAAAAGCTAGAAGTAACCTAAATATTGAATTACTGAGCTGAATATCTATTAAACATCTATTAAATGGAATACTATGTAGTCATTACCCTGCAAGAAGTGTAAACCATGCCTTTTTTATTATTATTATTAGTTTCAGAGGTAGAATTTAGTGATTCATCAGTTGCATATAACACCCAGTGCTCATTACATCATGTGCCCTCCTTTTTTTTTTAAGATTTTATTTATTTATTTGAGAGAGAGAGAGAACATGAGGGGGGGAGGGTCAGAGGGAGAAGTAGACTCCCTGCTGAGCAGGGAGCCTGACGTGGGACTCGATCCCGGGACTCCAGGATCATGACCTGAACCGAAGGCAGTTGCTTAACCAATTGAGCCACCCGGGCGCCCATCATCACGTGCCCTCCTTAATGCCTGTCACCCGGTAACCCCATCCCCCAACCCCCCTCCCCTCCAGCAACCCTCAGTTTGTTTTCTAGAGTCCAGTGTCTCATGGTTTGTCTCCCTCTCAATTTTCATCTGATTTTATTTTTCCCACCCTGCCCCTATGTTCATCTGTTCTTTCTTAAATTCCACATTAGTGAAATCATATGGTATTTGTCTTTCTCTGACTTATTTTGCTTAGCATAATACCCTCTAGCTCTATCCATGTCGTTGCAAATGGCAAGATTTCATTCTTTTGATGGCTGCATAATATTCCATTGTATATAGGGGCGCCTGGGTGGCTCAATAGTTAAGCATCTGCCTTTGGCTCAGGTCATGATCCCAGGGTCCTGGGATCGAGGCCCACATTGGGCTCCCTGCTCCACGGGAAGCCTGCTTCTCCCTCTCCCACTCTCCCTGCTTGTGTTCCTGTTCCCACTATCTCTCTGTCAAATAAATACAAATTAAAAAAAAAATATTCCATTGTATATATATATACCACATCTTCTTTGTCCATTCAACTGTTTTGTTTCTTTCCTGCTTTGTCAAAGATTAGTTGACCATAGAGTTGATGGTCCATTTCTGGATTCTTTATTCTGTTCCATTGATCTATGTGTCTGTTTTTGTGCCAGTACCACACTGTTGGCTTTGTAATAGAGCTTGAAGTCTGGAATTGTGATGCCTCCAGCTTTAGTTTTCAACATTCCTTTGGCTATTCAGTGTCTTTTGTGGTTCTACACAAATTTTAGGATTATTTGAGTCAGCTCTATGAAAAATGCTGTTGGTATTTTGATAGGGATTGCATTGAATGTGTAGATTGCTTTGGGTAGCATAGACATTTTAACAGTATTTGTTCTTCCCATCCATGACCATGGAATGTTTTTCCATTTCTTTTTTTTTTTTTAAATATTTTTTTTAATTTTATTTATTTATTTCAGAGAGAGAGAGAATGAGAGACAGAAAGCACGAGAGGGAAGAGGGTCAGAGGGAGAAGCAGATTCCCTGCTGAGCAGGGAGCCCGATGTGGGACTCGATCCCGGGACTCCAGGATCATGACCTGAGCCGAAGGCAGTCGCTTAACCAACTGAGCCACCCAGGCGCCCTGTTTTTCCATTTCTTTATGTCCTCCTCAATTTCTTTCATAAGTGTTCTATAGTTTTCAGAGTACAGATCCTGTAACTCTTTGGTTCGGCTTATTCCTAGGTATCTTATGGTTTTTGGTACAATTGTAAATGGGATCAATTCTTTGATTTCTCTTTCTTTTGCCTCATTGTTAGTGTATAGAAATGACTGACGTCTGTGCCTTGATTTTATATCCTGTGACTTTGCTGAATTCCTGTACGGTTCTAGCAAGTTTTGGGTGGAGTCTTTGGGGTTTTCTACATAGAGTATCACGTTGTCTACACAGAGTGAAAGATTTTCTTTGCCATTTTAGATGCCTTTTATTTCTTTTTGTTGTCTGATTGCTGAGGCTAGGACTTCCAGTACTATGTTGAACAACAGAAACCAAGCTTCCTAGGGTATAAGAACATATGCTTACAGATGCACTGGTGGTCTCCGGGAGATGCATAGAGCCAGAGACCACCGCCTCATGGAAGGGAACCAAGGCCCTGGAGGTTGACTTTTTCCTCAATCCTCTTTGTAACTTTTAGATTTTCATCATTTATATCATCATACAAAAAAGTATTCCTTTTAAAAATTAGACACAGCTTTAAAACTGTGAGATACATTTCTGAATAGAGACCGTGTGCCATGTACCAGCTGGGTTCCTGTGCCCAGCTAAAAAGGCTTCTCAGCCCCAGTGCACTTGAAGCATGTGATACACCCCGGTGATGTCACACACTTCTGTGAGAAACATGCATGTCCCAGCCCGGACAGACAAGGGCCACCAGAGCCCCCAGCCCAGGCTGCTGCCAGAGCTCTGGGGGGCAGAGAGAGGCAGAGGACGGAATGATGTCCTCACTGTGCTCAAAGATAACAAGCAGCGAGCCCGGCTCAGATGCGCAATGCAAGTATCTTCTGAGAAAGAGGGTGAGATACAGGTAGCTTCAGACAATCAAAATTTGAGAGTTTGTCACCAGCAGATCTCCACATGAAATTCCAAAGCTGTACTTAGGGCAGAAGGAAAGTGGTCTGGGGTGCAAGAGGGACTGAGAGCGGAATGGCGATAAACTTGGGGGAGACGGTGTTGTTTATCCTGCAGGAGCCCCAGCTCTGCCACTCACCAGTGGGTGACCTTCCACAGGAGACACTATCTGGGGGGCCTTGGAGTCTCTCTTTACAATGGGGAGTATAATGGAGCATCAAACAGGATGACCCCCCGTAAAGCATGTATACGGTGGACAGGGCACACAGTAAGGGCTCAATAAATGCTATCGTTATTATTAATGTGGCATATTATGACACAGCTCCTAAAAATACTGAAGATGCCTTTCAGAAAAAATAAAAAACTTCCTGCAGAGCCCTTACATTTACGGAAAAAAGTATGTGTAAAAACACTGTCATTAAGAAAAACCTAATAAATATCTACATATAATTTAAAAGAAAAAGAACAGCAAAATGAAAAACTTAGAGACTTCCAGTTAAAGATGGCAGATATAACACACTCATTTACATTTGCTCCCTCATGAAGGCCTACTAAATAAAACAAGTACAATTTCGTTTTGTTGCTTAAGCATAAACTGCCAAGAGCAAAGAGAACTCGAGAGAAGACCCAAAACTACAAAAACCAACCAACCAACCAACCAAACAAAAACCCCTTAAGAAGCAGAAAAGCACATGGATGGGGGGATTTGGCTCAGCAGACCCAAGAAACCAAGTCCTAAACTGGCGGCCAGGTAAGCTGAGAAGCAACCTGCTTTACATGAGAGCACCCCAAAGGCTCAGGAAGCTACACAACCAGGTAACTCAAGAAGTGGAGGTGAAGGTGGGGCTAAAAACAGGAGGACTCACTGAAAGGTCTATTTAATAAAGAAGAAACTCGTTCCCAGGATTCTCTTCCCTATCCCAAGCCTACACAACTGTGGCAGAAACCTTTCCCCAGGGGCGCCTGGGTGGCTCAGTCGTTAAGCGTCTGCCTTCGGCTCAGGTCATGATCCCAGAGTCCTGGGATCGAGCCCCGCATCGGGCTCCCTGCTCTGCAGGAGGCCTGCTTCTCCCTCTGCCACTCCCCCTGCTTGTGCTCCCTCTCTCGCTGTGTCTCTCTCTGTCAAATAAATAAAATCTTTAAAAAAAAAAAAAAAAAAAAAAGAAAGCTTTCCCCAAACTGAAGGGCCTGAGTTAAGAGAATGAAAGGGTTTCCCCCCAGTACAGGAGATGAAAGTGTCACAGCAAGACACACCAAGGACTGGGACTAAGGGAAAACCCTGAGCTTGCAGTGGGCAGGTTTCCTACAAGGAATCAGAAAGGCATTGGGTTTCTCACAGCACCTAGGGAAACTTGGAGGCAGTGAGGCAATGCCCTCAAAACCTAGAAGAGATACCCAACAACACAATCACGGTCAAGGGGAAGGACAGAATAAAAAAGCTTGCAGATATGAAAGGTTTAAACGTTTCCCTCAGGTGTACCTTTTCTGCGGAAGCTATCGAAGGATGTACCAACCAAGATAAGGCTGTAAACTAAGAATTGGGGTACAGGAAACAGGAATCCAGAACAAAAGAGAGGTAAAAGGGCTCTGGTGAAGGGAGACACCAAGGTAAGACCAGTAGCAAAGCTAGAAATCAACTAGTCCAGATAAGAGCAGCTTGTAAAGTCTCAGAAATAACTTTTTTCATGGAGTTGAAACATGTCTGAATTAATGGATAGGAGGTTCACATAACTGGAGGAGAGGTTGAGAGTTAATTTGTGATATGAACATAGACTAAAATGTAAGAATTACTATCTTCAGGAAAATGAAAAGTCATACAGAAAAGGAAGAGTATAAGGCTCAGCTGTAAGGAACATTTGTGGTGGCATAATATAAAACCCTATTCTCACCAAAATTAGGATATAAATCTATCAGAAGTGTAGACAGAAAGCATGCATACGTGTGGAGTACAAGAGAGAGAGCTAAATCCTAACACTCCATAGTGAGAAGTCAAGAAATAATGTCCACAAATGACAGACAGATCAAGAAGTGCCAATATAAACATGTATTCAGAAATATGGTTGTAAATACCCAACGCATCCACTGAAAGGGAGCACAGGGGGAGGGAGGCACAGAAGGGGGCAATAAGCGACTGGTTTGTTGTTTTTTTTGAACAAGCCTTGTAGTACCATTTGACTTTAAATATTGTGCATACAAAATTCTGATGAAAATAAAAACTGGAGTAACAAAACAGAAAACCTGTATTCTTTTTCTTTTTAATTTTTTTAAAGTAATCTCTACACCCAGTGTGGGGCTTGAACTTACAACCCTGAGAACAAGAGTTGCATGCTCCACCAAATGAACCAGCCAGGCACCTAGAAAACCTGTATTCTTAAAACTTCAAAAGTCAAACATTAAGATTTTTTTTTCTTTTAAAGCAAACTCTAGGGTTATAAAGGTAAGAAACAGGTTAGAAAACATTGAAATAAAGAACATAGGTAGGACATCTTACAAGTGGATTTCTGTGTGTCCCTAAACTCAGGCCTGGAGCAGATCTTAATCCATCATGTTCTACAAACCATGGCTGACCACTTTTGCAGATTAGGGTTCACGCTTCTTACAAACCATTGCTCAACTAGGAAGGACATTTCAAATATTACTTTAGATCAGAAGACGAAAAAGACAGCAACTCTGGATCTCACCTGCCACCTTCTCCAGCAGCTGCAATCGCTTCCTTCGCAAGCTGCAAAGCGGTTTCCTGACTGTACCAAAACTGGCTCAGCTGCTGGAACAGAGCAATGAGTCGAAATCATTTTGGAACCGTCAAAAATTTGTCCTTTTAATTTATGTCTACCATACTGGTGTGCATATTTTTTACAAGTTTTTTTATAAATTAATTATTCTTTAAAATTATTTTAAATTAACAGAAGGCTCTAAGTAATTCCTAGAATCTAGGTACTGAGCATCAGGGGCTGCTGACATCACAAAAGGAGACAACCAGTCAGTATTGCTGCTGATGGAAGAACACACTCCCACCTTTGTGTGCCTCTTGCCCAAAAAACTGAACCTGAATCTGATTAAGCTTCTAGATTCAACTACCAATTAGCATAATCACAAATATGGAAGATAGAAGAACATGTTAACCAACACCACAGGATGACGGCAGCAAAACCCAGTCTGTGATCCTGAGTTACTTGTTCTTCCCTCAGTGGGTAAGTTGTTTGTCATCTTGCTCTTTCTCTTTATGCTGATTAATGACTTTCTTTTAACTTTCTAGTGATCCTTAATTATCCACTTACTTAATATATAAAAGGGGTAAAATTTTAATGGAAAAAGTAGATTCCTCTGCAATGGAAAAGGCCCATTTCTCCAATAGGCCTCCTCTGAAATGGCAGGGCTGGGAGCAAGTGGTGGGAGTAGACGAGTGTGCTGCCAGTGTATGCTGATAGCTCTCAAATCCAGCTTTAAAAATGTCTCCAAAACATATGATCGTTTCAATAAATGCAAAAAGAAGAGCATTTAACAAAATTCAACACTGCTTCAGGATTAAAAAAAAACTCATGAGGCTTCTGGGTGGCTCAGTGTTAAGCGTCTGCCTTTGGCTCAGGTCAGGTCCTGGGATCAAGTCCTGCATTGGGCTCCCTGCTCAGCGGGAAGCCTGCTTCTCCCTCTGCCTGCCACTCCCCCTGCCTTGCTCTTTCTCTGACAAATAAACAAATAAAATCTTAAAAAAACAAAAACTCTTAGAAAATTAGGAATAGTGGGGAACTTCTTTAAACTGATAAAGGGCATCTAAGAAAAAAACCAACAGCCTTAAAAAATGAAAGATCTGGGCTCCTGGGTGGCTCAGTCGTTAAGGGTCTGCCTTCGGCTCAGGTCATGATCCCAGGGTCCTGGGACTGAGCCCCACATCGGGCTCCCTACTCGGTGGGAAGCCTGCTTCTCCCTCTCCCTGCCCCCGCTTGTGTTCCCTCTCTCACTGTGTCTCTCTCTGTCAAATAAATAAAGAAAATCTTAAAAAAAAACAAAAATGAAAGATCTATTTTTTCCCCATAAGAAAAAAGTAAAGAATGTCTGCTTTGAACATTCTTTTTTTTTTTTTTTAAAGATTTTATTTATCCCGTCCCCTCCCCATATAATTGTAACCTGTTTTGGTTAAACTCATTGTCAATGTTCAATGTGGGTCTTCCATTTCCTTCTAGTATGTTACCTTTTCTTTTTCCTAGACTTAATACATGTATCATTTGCTTGTTTCTTTGAGCCCACCTCTAATTCTTCCAACATTCTCTGGCAGCCTTGGGGAAGCAGTGCATGGGAGGTCAATGCCATGAGACTTGCCATTTCTAAAATGTTTTTTATTTTATCTTCATGTTTGATTGATAGCTCAGCTGAGTACAGAATTCTAGGCTGAACAAAATTTTACTCCAAATACTGAAGACACTGCTCCACTTTTTTCTAGTTTCTAATAAAGCTATCAAGAAGTGCAGTGTGACTCATCCTGAGACTTTGTAGGTGGCCTGCTTTTCCTCTGGAAGGTTCTAAGATCTTGTCACCTGCATACAGAATTTTCACAGTGAAGTAACCATGTGTCTTAGTAAGGATCTGCAGTTCTAGAAATTTTCTAATATTAATCTTTGAAGATTTCCTCCCCCCCTTTGTTTTCTGTTCTATATTTCTAACTCCAATCAGTTAAATATTGAGCCTCCTGGATTTATCCTCTAGTTTTATAATGTTTTCTTTCCAATACTTGCATCATTCTCTTTTTTTTTGGTTCCTAGGAAATTTTCTCAATTCGATAAATCAAACCAAAGAAAGTGTCAAAATTATAAAAATACTTAATTCTTAAGTATTGGGATTAGGAAAAACTTATTTTTGTGTCCATATTTTTATATATTTTCTACAACAACCATGGATTACTTTAGAATCAGAAAAAAACACACAGTGCTTCAAACATTAAGCAGGGGGGAAAGAAAAAGAAAAATGAGGTACTTCAAGTCTCTGACATTTACTACATACAGAAGCATCAAACCAGAAAACAAAGACACATAAAGAAGGGAAATTGTGAGAAAGAGGCTTTTGTGTAGGTAGAATATTTAGTGTAAATGTAAAGAAATATATTTATCAGTTTCAAACAGATGGTAAATAGGAGAATTTTATACAACTTAAGAGATCCAAACTTGACACAAAATGTAAAAGGCTATTAAAAAAAAAAAAGGCATACAAAAGATTCCTTCTAGTTCCAAAGTGACAGAGAGAGACATCCATTATTGAGGGGTGTGCACAGACAGAAAACCCAAACTTCATCTATTTCTCAACTATCTCCTTCAAAATTTTAAATTGCCAGGTTCCAGCTCAGGTTGGTTTTCCTCATTTTTTTTCTCTTTTAATTCCTATTTTTATTTAGACCATAAAAATATAATTAAAATACATTCTATGCACTAGAAATTATTAATATCTTCTTTAGAACTCCCTCTCCTCTTTTTTTTTTTTTTTGCATGTTTAAGTTTAGCTACCCCATTTGCTGCAATGATATATTTTACCCCTTCCACAAGGATGCTGGGCTCCATAAAAACCAACAGAAACCATCTGTATACAAGAAGGAAGCACAAGTATGTTGGTCATAAATGAACATGCTGTTTCCTTATCTGAAAAGTCCCCTTGTGTGACCACCAACTAACCAGGAAAATCTACATTTATACAGTCTTAAATAATCATGGACTGCTTTTTGTCTTAGCTCCCCAGACAGGCTATCAGTTCCTGAGAGGCAGATGAGACAAACATGAGTGTGAAGTGGGATGCAGACAAACACAGGGCAGGTCGGAGAGGTGCGGACCGGTACGGACAGATGCAGACAAGTGCATACAGGTACAGACAGATGCGGACAGGTGTGGACAGGTATGGACAGGTACAGATGAGGACAGGTGTGGGCAGGTGCAGACAGGTACGGACAGATGCAGACAGGTGTGGACAGGTATGGACAGGTGCGGACAGACGCGGACAGACGCAGACAGGTGCAGACAGGTACGGACAGATGTGGACAGGTATAGACAGGTGCGGACAGGTACGGACAGATATAGACAGGTATGGAATCAGTGCTGCACCCATACTTCCTGAGAGATGTGGAATGCATTTACTTACCCAGTTCTCTTCTATTATTCCAATGTTATATTTATCATCTCTGCCTGGGTCACTTTGTTGCTTCTGCTCAGCATAAAATTCCTGGAGGGCTGCTAAGGTGTGGGAAGACAGCCGGGGGATATCGTCATCATCAGAGTCACTCATTTCACAAATTGTCTATAACCTGCAAATAAATAAGCAAAGGTGTTGTGGGGTATTTTTCCCTTTCCCATCAAATAACAATTTAGAAATTTTTTTATCTCACAGCAAGGAGCCAAACTGGAAGTGGGTTTTATAAGAGAAACTCATATTTAAAATTTCTGAGCTCAAACATCTACAGAGGTCTCCTATTGAACTACAGCTCAATAAATGCAGGCTTTTCCTTTACATGTATTCAGTTTTTACAAATGAGATTCTTGCATTTTATTTTATTATGTTATGTTAGTCACCATACATTACATCATTAGTTTTTGATGTAGTGTTCCATGAGTCGTTGTTTTCGTATAGCACCCAGTGCTCCATTCAATACGTGCCCTCCTTAATACCCATCACCGGGCTAACTCATCCCCCCCTCCCCTTTAGAACCCTTAGTTTGTTTCTCAGAGTCCATAGTCTCTCATGGTTCGTCTCCCCCTCCGATATCCCCCCCTTCATTTTTCCCTTCCTGCTATCTTCTTCTTTTGAGATTCTTGCATTTTTAAGACTCCTGGCAGAATGAATTTTTTTTTAAAGATTTTATTTATTTATTTGACAGAGAGAGACACAGCGAGAGAACACAAGCAGGGGGAGTGGGGGAGAGAGAAGCAGGCTTCCCGTGGAGCAGGGAGCCCGATGCGGGACTCCATCCAGGACCCTGGGATCATGACCCGAGCTGAAGGCAGATGCTTAAGGACTGAGCCACCGAGGTGCCCCAGAATGAAGTTTTTACCATAAATATCTAAAGACATTCTGCTTTCTTCTGGTACCCCAAATGCCATATGTGCACACTTCACTGTAGATCCCCTGAATCAGAGACCATTCCAAATTTGAATGTCACCGTTCAGGTGATCTAAGGCTCAGGGGTGTTATTGATAGGGTTAAGTGAAGGACAGTTAAAGGAGGGGAATAGAAAGAGGTATGGAAATTTAAAGGAATGACAAGGAGAATGGGAAGAAGTAAAACACAGGGAGGGAGAGAAGGAAGGGGTCTTGCAGGAACTGATGGCCAGGCCAATCACTTCTTGTGGTACCACTGGAATTAGCCAGACTGAGTTTAAGACACAGCCCTGGTCCAGACAGCAAAGTCTCCCCAAGACTCCTGACCACTCCAAGTTCGGGGGGTTCCCAAAACTACCCTCATGTTCAGTAATTTGCTAGAAGGATTCACAGAACACCACTCACAGCAGCTGTACTCAAGATGCATTTAATCCAGGGAAAGGATACAAATCAGAGCCAGCCAAAGGGAGAGATGCACAGGGCAGCGTCCAGAAGAGTTCCAAACAGGAAGCTCCCAGTACCCTCAGGATGCATGTCCCTCCTGGCACAGATGTGGGACAATATGCATGGGGTCCTGCCAACCAGGGAAGTTCTGCAGAGTTTCAGTGTCCAGCTATTAAGGCTTCACTATGTTGGTATGAGTGACTGAATGATGGCCCACCTGGCTGAAGTCAGTCTCCAGCTCCCCCAACCAGGAGGTAGGGTTGATAAGGCCTGAGGGCCCTCCATAAATAACAAAGACCTTCCCACAACTTGAGAAAGTTTAAGTGTTAACAGGTTACCTCCCAAGAGCCGTGGCAAAGGCCAAACCTCTCTTTGAGGTCAAATTCCTTACTACACAGTACCAAACATGTTTTTAAGTCGAAAGTTATCTAAGAGCATAAAACCAGCATCCTATTTGCTTTTTAAAACATGTCTGCAGTGTACAGCAAGTGATGTGTTGAAAGTCAGCAAAGATTATTCAATAGCTTCATCACGTTGCTCCCTTCCTCCTCCAAGGCCTATGGGGGTGTATCTGATTGACAATCTTGGCCTCCTGCCTACGCCGCCAAGGGCAGCTGGTAAAACAGCATTCGAAACTGGCAAATTCCCCAGGCTTATAGCAAAAGGGTTCAATATATGCTGAGCTGCCATTTAAAATGAGAAATGCCGGGGCGCCTGGGTGGTGCAGTCAGTTAATCGGCTCAGGTCATGATCTCAGAGTCCTGGGATCCAGCCCCCTGTCGGGCTCCACACTCAGCATGGAGTCTACTTGAGATTCACTCTCCCCTCTGCCCCTTCCACTCATGCTCTCTCTCTCTCAATAAATTTTTTTTTTAAATTGAAATGCCTGCTAAATGCTGCTTTTGTTCTCCTTTTCAAAATCAAAGAGCTAGCCATTCTACCTATGATCCAAAAAACAACCAAAAAACAAAAACTAAAACCAAAAAACAAAAACAAAAAAACACCTAAAAAACTTGTATATACCAACTACTGACAAACTAATGTATTTTCATGAAGTACAAATAGCTTGTTGATTCCTTCTTTCCTTTCTTCATCAAAGACTCATCTGTAAAAGCTTGTTAATAAAACATCTGGTCACACAAATTAATCTAGAAATATAAATACGCCCTCTATGAACAAGCAATTTCCCTTCTAGGAAGAGAAGGAGCAAAACAAAGGTATAAACACTATGACAGATTTATATAAAGTTCAAAAACAAATAAAATTAAATTATTTAAAGAAGCACATCAACCTATATTTATCAAAGATAGACTAATTTTGTTACCAAACCTTCCCAAAGAGAAGACTCGAGGCTGAGCAAATTCACTGATGAGTTCTGTCAAACATTTAAAGAAGAAATGTTGATAATTTTATCATCCAGAAAATAGAGGAGAAAGGAATACTTCCCAACTTGTTTAATGAAGCCAGATTAAATCTAACATGGAAACGTGTCAGTACATAACCTGGTTCAATTCCTGATCAGATATTGAGGGTGATCAGATATCAGAGGCAGAGAGGGGTGGTGGTTTCCGGTGAAACTGATTTAGCAAGATTCTTGCTAAAACTAGATTTTACAAAGAAGTGCCCAGATGGGCCTAGAAGATTCAGGAGCCTGACTCAAGTTTGATTGAGCAAATAATCTTAGCTATAGGAAACTGCGGCCGGCAGGACAAATTAGGCCTGTGGCTTGTTTCTGCAAACCAAATTATTGGGAAAACAGCCACACCCTTTGGTTTACATATGGCTTATAGTAGTTTTTATGATAAGCCTAAAATATTTACTACCTGGTCTTTTACAGAAAGTTTGCTGACTCCTAGTTTAACAATTTAAAAGAGAAAAGCCATATGATCATTTGCATGGATACTACAAAAGCATTTGACAAAATTCAACATCCATTCATGTTAAAAACTGAGCAAACTAGGTATAAAAGCAAACTTCAGTCTGAAAAAGGGAACCCACAAAACACATAAGCTTCATACTTTTCCTAGTGGTGAAACACTGAATGCTTTCTCTCTATGCTCATGAACAAGGGAAGGATATTCACTGTCACCACTTTCATTTAACATTATCCTGGCCTTTCCAGTTAATTCAAGGAGGCAAACAAACAAACAAAAAACAAAAAACAAGCAAGCATAAAGATTGGAAAGGAAGAAATGTCCCTATTTGTAGACATGATTATTCACAGAGAAAATCCTAAGGAAACACTACTCTCATCCAGGTGATCAAGGTCAACATCAATAGTGATAATTCATTATCAGTGGCATGTAGCCTTGATATGTGGTGATGAAAACAGCACTTCACCTCCATGGTCTTCCCCCCAAAAAACACATAATCCCAGTGTAAGCATGACTGAAAATCAGACAAACTCCAATTAAGAGTCATCAAAAACAAAAGAAACACAATAGATAGTCACTGCCAAGATGTTAATAATAGGGGAAACTGGGTATAGGTATAGAGGAACTCACTGCACAATCTTCACAATTTTTCTGTAAACTTAAAACCATTCTATGATAAAGTTTATTTTTAGAAAATTTTAAGTAAGCATAACCAACTTCAACAACAAAAACTACTAGAATAAGTGAGTTTATCGAAGTCTCAGAGTACAAGATCAATACAGAAAAATAAATTGCATTTCTGTATTCTAGCAGCAAATAAATGGAACTTAAAAGCAATTTCCCAAAAATAGCATAAAAAATACACGTATATTTATCATAAAGACTGTAAGACCTTGATACTGAAAATTCCAAAGCACTGCTGAAAGAAATCAGAGAAGACCTAAGTAAAAGGAGAGACATACCATGCTCATGAACTAGAAGAATTAGTATTATTAAGGAGTCAATTCTCCCCAGATTGATCAATACATTCAATATATCCAATCGGGGTGTGTGTGTGTGTTTGCATGCGCCTGCGCGCATGTGTGAGTTTAAACTAGAAACTGACATACTGGTTCTAAAATTTATTTAAACATTCATTCACTGAAGGACATTAAGATTGCTTCCAGTTTTTGGCTATTATGAATAAAGTACTATGAACAGCTGTGTACAGTTTTACATTTTTTTCAGACTAAAGCTTTGTTTATATAAACATCAGACAAATCACAGCACTAAACCATTTATCAATATTTTGATTAGCTTCTATAACCTCAGTATGAGAAACAAATGGCCAAAATAAGAGTGGACAAATAAAACAAGTAAACTGAAAGAATGGAAATGCTGATGAGAATGTAGGGATATTGGTACTCTAAGTTGGTTAATAATTTAAGTTGGTATAATCTCCTTTTGGAAAGAATCATATATTCTAGATATAAGGATATTCCTACTTTCTGACCCAATTCTCATTTCTAAACTTCATATTTTGAAATGTTTACAGATTCACAGGAAGTTGCAAAACTAATACACAGAGGTCCAAGTATCCCTCATCTATTTTTTTTTTCTCATTCTAACAACTTAAAATCAGGACATGACTTTAAAATGAGGGTGTGTAAGTTTAATTGTGGGCATGTTTTCTTAAAGTGATAGTATTATCATCCATGGCGTCTTAGATTTGATGAAATATAGTTATCACTGTAACAACTGTAGGCAATGTAGTGAATCATCCATGCAGCAGAACCACCATTTTATAGCCTCAACATAAAGGGGTCAGAAAGAGGTGAGGCTGTTCTGGGAGTTGACAATGTCTAAGTGGTATCCATGGGAATGAATGGTGAAAAAGGATGTGAATAAAGTTATTAGAGGATTCTGGGAAGACTATCTCCATACCTAGATAGCTGTACTGGCACAGTCTATCTGATGTAACTATTTTAGAACTCTAGAGTTTATTCAAAGGCTTGCAACTTCCAAAGGAAGGCTCAAGTTACGGTTAATTTCAGTCAGTTTTGGCACTTAGCTCAGCAGTGGCTACCCATCCCCCACTCCTTATTCCTGTGTCAGGAAGCTGTGCACATGATTCTGTTTTGTGTTTGGTCTTAACATATCGAGGTGACTGAGTGAGGACATGGAGAGATCAATGCCATTACAAGAAGTGTTTACTATTCACAGTTCCCCTAGAAATGAGAGGCACGGTGCCCCAAGAAGGGCCACACAAAAGTTGTCACATGTGGGGACAAGAAAGCAGAGAGAGACCTGGAACTCTATCTTTACTGCTAAGATGGGTGGAAAGGATTAGGTGGGGATGTCTCCTTTGGGCACAGAGTAAAAACACATACTCTACAGTGTGTGTTTGGGAGGTTTGTGATATGACCTTGATGGGCCCATGAAAGCTGGTTTGCAGGGAAGATGTAAACAACTCTGGCCACTAGTTTGGCCCTGTAATTACCTGATGCCAGATAAACAAATACAAAACCTAAGAACACACAATTACAAAGTCCCAGGGGCAGTGTGTATGCAATTTGTGGGAAACAAGGTAGAGAATAAGGACTGTGTCCTTCAAATATTGGGGACACTAATATGTGTTGTGATCACTAACTGCTGCTTCTGCTCCTGGAGGCACAGACAGAGTCAGGCAGCCATATGGCAAGGCTCCCACTGCTGACATTACCTTCCACCTCCAGCTGAAGAAACTCTGAGAGGATTTAAAGGGCCAGCAGTTCTTTCTTCGCTTTATTTTTCTCTTTTTCTCCTTTTGGGAGCCAAACATTTAAGGACTAGATCATTATAAAAAGCAGCTGCGTATGGGAATTTAGAAAGTCACTTACAGTCTTCCCAGGAAGAGGTGGAGGCTCAGAAAAAAACCTGAGAAGACCTTAAGTTTCTACCTCAGACTGATACTCAGCACAGACCGCCCTCCAACATCAAACCCCCAAATAATAAACAGAATAATAAAAATCAGCAAATCTTTAGGAAGGGGGAGAATCTGATTTCCAGAGTTACCAAATTATTAGATTCAAATATACAGTTTTCAACAACTAAAAATCACAAGGCATACGAAGAAACTGGAAAGTATAGCCCATTCCAAGGAAAAATGTAAATCAACAGAAATCATCCCTGAGAAAGACTGGATGGTGGACCTACTAGACAAAGACTTTAAAACATGCTAAAAGAACTAAAGGAAGATATGGGAAAAGCTAAGAAAATGATGTATGAACAAAATGGAAATATCAAGAGATAGAAAACATAAAAAGAAACCAAAAGAGAATTCTGGAGCTAAGAATTACAATTACTGAAATGAAAAATTCACTAGAGGAATTCAAAAGCAGATTAGACAGAAGAATCAGCAAACTTGAAGATAAGAAAATTAGAATTACTAAGTTTGAGGAAAAGAAAGAAAGAAAAAAAAAAGACTGAAGAAAAGTGAACAAAACCTAAGGGCATACTCTCAAGTAGACCAAAATACACACTGTGGGAGTCTCAGAAAGAGAAAAGAAAGGGACAAAGCAATTATTTGAAGAAATAATGGCTGAAAACTTCCCAAATTAGGTGAAATATAGAACTATAAACGTCCAAGAAGCTTAATGACCTCCTTAGTAGAATAAGCTCAAAACACCTACAGATTACAATAAAACTATCAAAAGCCAAAAACAGAATCTTCAAAGCACCAAGAGAGGGTACTTGTCACATAAAAGGGACCACCAATAAGATCATTAGATTTCTCATCAGAAACTTTGGAGGCTAGAAAGGAGTGGACTGATATACTCAAAGTACTGAATAGAAAAAAAAAAAATCAACCAACAACCCTATATCTGATGAAAATGTCCTTCAAAAGTGAGGGAGAAATTAAGACATTCACTGATAAACAAAAGCTGAGGGAGTTCGTTACCACTAGACCTGCCCTGCAAAAATTGGTAAAGTGAGTCCTGTAGTTAAAATGAAAGTATACTAGACAGTGACTCAAAGCCATATGTAGAAATAAAGATCTCAGAAAGGTAAATATATGGGCAATTGTAAAAGCTAGTATTATTGTAACTTCAATTTGTAACTCTGTTTTTTTTTTTTACATGATTTAAGAGAGCAATACCCAAGTGTCTATCAACAGATGAATGGATATACATACAAAGGAATATTATTCAGCCTTAAAAAGGAAAGAAATTCTGACACATGTTACAATATATAATGAACCTTGAGGACATTATACTAAGTGAAAAAAGTTACAAAAAAAACAAATACTCTGATTCCACTGATACAAGGTACCTAGAGTTGTCAAATTCATAAAGACAGAAAGTGGAATGGTGGTTGCTGGGGGATGGGAGAAATGGGAAGTTGTTTAATGTTTATATAGTTTCAGTTTTCAAGATGAAAAGAGTTCTGGAGGGTGGCCTGGGTGGCTCAGTCATTAAGCGTCTGCCTTCGGCTCAGGTCATGATCCCAGGGTCCTGGGATCGAGTCCCACATCGGGCTCCTTGCTCCGCGGGAAGCCTGCTTCTCCCTCTCCCACTCCCCCTGCTTGTGTTCCCTCTCTCGCTGTCTCTCTCTCTGTCAAATAAATAAATAAAATCTTTAAAAAAAAAAAAAAAGAAAAGAGTTCTGGACATGGATGGTGGCAACTGTCACACAACAGTGTGAATGTATTAACACTACTGAATTGGACACTTAAAAATGGTTAAGATCGTAAATTCTATGTTACATGTATATTATCAAAATAAAAATATTGGGGGAAAATGTTATTAGAGTGGATATCAATGGGCTGTTAAGGTAAGGCAATTAGATTGTTGTCATGACTCTGGTTATTACAGGCTTCCCTGAAGAAGTGATATTTACACTAGGATCTAAAGAATAAGTTCTCCCATAGGCAAAGAAAGGAAAAAAGAGTATTGAAGGTAGAGGAAACAGCCTTCCCATCAAGTGGTTGATAAAAGAACTGATGCATTATACAGTTTCAAGTAAATTAGGAATAATCTCAAAAGAATTCCCTACTAATTCTTTGTGAACAATGTTCAAAATGAACTAATTTGAATTTTGTTGTTTTATAGTTTTGTTTATATTTGAGAATTTTTTTTTTTAAGATTTTATTTATTTGACAGAGAGAGACACATGAGAGAGGGAACACAAGCAGGGGGAGTGGGAGAGGGAGAAGCAGGCTTCCTGCGGAGCAGGGAGCCCGATGTGGGGCTCGATCCCAGGGCCCTGGGATCATGACCTGAGCCGAAGGCAGACGCTTAACGACTGAGCCACCCAAGCACCCCAAGAATGTGTTAAGTTCTATAGTTGTGGAACAATTAAAAGCAGGATGAGTTATTTGACTTTGAGGTTATAATTTAGAATAAAAATAACTTAAATCAACATAGAGGTGTCTGCAGCAGTCCCACTGAGCAATGGTATGAAGGCTTTGAACGAGCAACTTTAGTTTACTGCAGAAAGCACAATGAGGGCACCTGGGTCGCTCAGTTGGTTAAGCAACTGCCTTCAGCTCAGGTCATGATCCTGGAGACCTAGGATCGAGTCCCACATCAGGCTCCCTGCTCAGCTGGGAGCCTGCTTCTCCCTCTGACCCTCCCCCTTCTCGTGCTCTCTCTCATTCTCTCTCTCTCTCAAATAAATAAATTAAAAAAAAAAAAGCACAATGAATAAATTTTTAGGAAAACGGACCAGGAACTATCAGGCTGGAGAATTTCCAGCTGGAAATTCCAAAGATTAGTGTGTTGTGCATGCCGAACAGAGAAAGACTAAGAAAATATAGCAAACTGATCTGCAACCTACTAAAAAGGTCTCATTTTGGTTTGGTTTCAGGATTAAGAGTTCCCTTCATTCAGGAAAAGAATCAGGCAACTATTAAAATCCAAGGTCTCCTGGCAGAGTTGAAGTGTACAACCAGTTCCTGATCAAAGCTACACCATGATACTGTCTAGAAGAGGTAAAGGACAAAAAGTATGTGTGTTAATGTATGTGTGTACATATATGTGTGTGTGTGTGCGCATGTCCATGTACATTCATATAGGCACATGTACACACATATATCCCTGATACAGACAAGAAAATTTGAATTTTTATTAGTACTAAGCACTTTCCACAGCTCCATCTGTAGAGAAGGGCTTTCAAACTGCAGCTTGAAATAAAACCTGAAAACCATAAGAAGAAACCAGTTGATGTTAAATACAAAATAAAGAATTCCAAAAAGCAGTTAAGAAAACTGTCTACTTTCACAGCTGTAAAAGGCAATTATACCCCAATCTGTATTTTAGCATGAATTTTGTCCCAAAATAAAATTTTATCTTAAAGCTGACCAAATCCATTCATTTGGTAATCATTTATTGAGGTATTGCCTTGTACTTGGCAGTGTTCTTGGTGATGGAAATCAAAGTCCCAGTCCTCCTGGAGCCTATATTCCAGTGAGGCACAGGCTACAAGCAATAGAAATAAAATGTGTTGGATGATGGTAAGATCAATGGAGAAACATGTGGAGAATGGAGGGGGCTGCAATTTTAGCAATCATAGACAGATTCCTACCTTATTAGAGTTCAAGACTGCATCACTTGTTAAATGGGAAAAACTTAAATCTGCTTATGTAATAAACATTGCTACAGACTAAATGAACTTTAGTTTCAACATACTAACTTTTTTACTTAAGTCACTACTTCATATCTTTAGCGTTGTTTAAAAATTTTCTAAGTGGGGGCGCCTGGGTAGCTCAGTAGTTAAGCGTCTGCCTTCGCTCAGGTCATGATCCCAGAGTCCTGGGATGGCCCTCTGCATCAGGCTCCCCGTTCGGAAGGAAGCCTGCTTCTCCCTCTCCCACTCCCCGTGCTTGTGTTCCCTCTCTCACTGTGTCTCTGTCAAATAAATAAATAAAATCTTTAAAAAAATTTTTTTATTTTTTTATTTAAGAATTTTTAAAAGATTTTATTTATTTGACAGAGACACAGTGAGAGAGGGAACACAAGCACGGGGAGTGGGAGAGGAGGAAGCAGGCTTCCCGCGGAGCAGGGAGCCCGATGCAGGGCTCAATCCCAGGACCCTGGGATCATGACCTGAGCCAAAGGCAAACCGTTAATGACTGCGCCACCCAGGAGCCCCCAAAATAAAAATTTTCTAAGTGGGTTTATGAAATTGATGTGAAAGAGATTTTCAAGTCCAGAAGAGTTGGGAAGTGCTATGTCATATTATTATTAAACTGATGCTAAGCCTTATATGGCTCATACATGAGATCAGTGGTTCTCATAGATTTTGCATGCCCCCCCCCTCGGCCGCCTGCCCCAGAAGGGGAACATCTGGCAATGTATGGAGACATTTCTGGTTGTCAGAACTGGGGAGGGTGCCACTGGTATCTAGTGGGTAGAGACCAGGAATGCTGGCAAATACAAGACAACCCTCCACAAGAAGGAACTATCTGGCCCCAAATTTCTACAGTGTCACGGTTGAGAAATAAGACAAATGAATGTGATAATGTGGTGAGCCCTCTATTAGAAAAGCACCATTCACCACCATTTAGTACAATGGGATCAGAATGAAGAGCATGTGTGGGCAGAGAATAGAAGTGAAACAGCAGGTGGCACTTTAACTTGGCCTTGCGGAGAAGAAAAGATGAAGAGTGAGGACTGCAGAAGGAACAGCATGAGCAAAGGGCTGGACACATTAATGTGCAGCATCAGCAGGCTCCTAATGGACTGTGGTTACTTTCTATTTCTTTAAATAGTACTTAACTCAATATAACTAATGTAATCCTAAAAAGTAATGCCTAAATCCAATCACATTTCAAATGTATAAAATTCAATTTCCGGGGTGCCTGGGTAGCTCAGTTGGTTAAGCGACTGCCTTCGGCTCAGGTCATGATCCTGGAGTTCCTGCATCGGGCTCCCTGCTCAGCAGGGAGTCTGCTTCTCCCTCTGACCCTCCCCCCTCTCATGCTCTATCTCATTCTCTCAAATAAATAAATTCTTTAAAATGAAATAAAATAAAATTTCCATATATCAAACTTACTAAAGCAAGCCACTCCCTCCCCCACTGTATAAATTCACACAGTATCATATTGCCGTCTGCAAGTTATTTTGGTCGGGGCAGCGTGATTCAGTGGAAAGAGCATTAACCTGGGACTCATCCCAGACTCCTGAGTAAATGGGTGGGGGGTGTGGAAGGAGGGAAGGGAAACCTGAGGTCGTTTGTGAAGCTCCCTCTGCAAATGGGTAAGAACGGCTTAGATGTTTCCTAAATAGTTTTGCATATTGCCCTAGACTCTACCCTTAATCCCATTTACTGTCAGAAAAGGGCCATAACCTTTCATTTTCATCTTTGCATCTGTAGTTACCCCTGCCTAAAATGCTTTCTTCCCTCTCATTTTCCAAAATTCTATTTATCCTATTTTAAAAAATTAACTTTAAAAAAAGTAAGGTAAAGTTTACCTACAGTTTAATACAGATCATAAACATACAACACGATGAACTGCTTTGTATACCTCCACGTAACCACAACCCCTGTCAAGATATTCTTCTGGTCTTAACCATCCTCCCCTTTCCCCCCGGAAAGTGTCCCCCACCCCAGCTAGGTCCCTTACTATGATCCCTGTACCACTAAGACGCTACTGCCCTTCTGCACCGCCAAGTTTCCCGTCTCCCCTGGGGAACTGGGGCCTGATCTACTGCACTTTACACCCCGCGCCCAGCAGACCTGCCTCCTAACGCCCCAGGAGACAAGTGTGGAGGCTCGAACGTCCGGGGCAAAGAAGTAAAGGGCAGTAGGCCCAGTCCCGTTTCTGATCGGAGGGGAGTTCTCAAGCTGCTCTGGCCTGAGGGTTAACTCTTCCCCGCGCCTGGACTACCTAAGCCCCGGTCGTGCGGACCCTCCCGGGCCGGGTCTCACACAACAGCAACCAGGTTCCCCTCCCGGCTCGGCTGCAGCTCTCCTCCCATCCCCAGACACCACTAACTGAAACCCCTCCTCCTTTACTGCACTGGAGAAAGAGTGACAAACAGAGTAAGAACCACAACCGATTCCGAAGCCTCTGAACAGCGCGGAAACTACCCCACCTTGGCGCCCGGGATCGTCCACTCACAAACCACGCGTGCTCAGTCACCCAGAGCTACAACAGTGGGTGGTGCCAGCCTGTGCCGCGTTCGCGCATGCGCACACCCTCCCACCCGGGGGCACTTCCGGAAGGCGGGGGAATGCAGTTTCCTCCAAGCATTCAAGTCCCGCTCTAGAAGTCCGCCAAGTGCTCACTCCTGATTGGAATTCCTCTATCTTATAAATTACCTCCAAGAATGGTGGCAATAGACAAAATTTAAGGTTTTAGATTCCCTTCAAGTGAAACGTATTCCAAGTAGCTTTTGCACTTGAAACTAGATGTACATTTCACAAATATAAATTCAAACCTCTATCTAGTTTACCCAATCTTAATAGAGGAATTTAGAAAATTTCTTTTAAATTTAAAGAAGTGGAGGAATTAAGACATTAAATTGAAGCTTTGCAATACTGACAGGATTAGAAAAACTCAAACCCTGCACTTTGGCCAGATTTCCTCCTCGATAGGATTTGCCTACCTACCCAAACTTAATGTGGTTAAAGAAGTCGAGGCCATATGCATTTTTCATTTTGGGGTTAGCTGCAAAGAATGCAAGAGATATAAATGAGTGCAAGATCTGATTGGAGAATAGATGACGTAGACAGTTGTCTTCATGCTGAAGTATGACCAGCTACTAATTTGGCAAACAATGTAATTATGAGGCAACAACATTCTCCATGAAAATGATGGATACTTTTTGGTCAGCTGACTCGCCAGGAGTCTTTCAGAGCCTTCAGCGTTGAGTGCGTTCAATATGAGACATCTAGCACACAGTATTTACCATCTAATAGGCATTTACTGTAAGAAGGGATTCCCTTCCACCTTCGCTGTTACCAAAGCATGAGGTATTTTTCCATTCCCCAAGGCAATCTATGTTATGTTCCTACCTTCCTTTCCTTTATCAATTTTATGATCTTGCTAAGTTTTATATATTCTGAATAGCTTTAAATCCTTTTTGGGATGAGGATATAAATGAAGTGCTCAGCTGCCAAATGATGCTGTTCAATAGTTCATAAAAGAGGTTTACAACTTTGTGGGTACCATAATTTCTGTTTTAAATAGTTTGCAGGTCTATAACAACTCATGCTTTATTTACTTTGAATGCTCTGAACTGATGACAAATCTATTAAACAATATTTCAAAATCAGATGTAACTTAGTAAAGGGGCTGGAAAGAAAATGTGTAAAACTAAGAAATCAATAACATAAACTAAGAAACAATAACCAACTTTTATGGCAGTACATTTTTACAGAGGTAGTGTTTCATACATACGAGACTGCCTTGGCTTATAAATTAACAGGAAAGTTTATGCTAAAGCAAATTATTTTTGGTTTGAAACATCTTTTTAAGCTTTCAAAGTTTCAATTGCTTTCATAACATCTGAGACACAAGTTACCTTCATGTAATGTGTACGACTACATGTTATTTTTATAAAGTGACCTAGATGTCAGGAAGTTCATATAATTGTACCTCCACCAAGAGTGCTGACTGCCCAGACAGCACGTCTCTATTGCATGAAAATTAGAATTTTCCTGATGAAACTTTTGCATTGTAATTTAATGGTTTTTGAAAATCATAAAGAAATGTAAAACATCAAAGGTAATTTATTACTGAAGATTATTTGTCAAGTTAAACTAGACTTGAAAGATGCTTTCAAATCAATTTCAATCCAGGAATTACTCCTCAGAAATTACTTTTGTTCATCTTGCTACTCTTCAGAAATGGCGCATAAAAGGAATGAAGATTACTTTGAAAAGGTCTCTTAAGATGAACTTACACTTGGTTTTCCCTTTCTAAAAAATAACTAGTAATTACCTATAATTACAAGAACACAGATTCTGGCCCTTTTTTTTTTCTTTCCTTCCATTCGTCAAGTACTGTATGATCACATTATTCAACCTAAGCTTGTTGCAAAGAATGTTCACGAGAATTCTAGTCCCGTAAGATGCTTTGAATAGAAACCATTAAATAAGCTGATAAAAATCTCATTAAGATCTTCTAGAGTTTCCAACGTGCATTAGTGTAGTAAGGCTTTAACCTCACAGTTAAAAAAAAAAAACCCAAAAATCCCCACTTGTTTTATTTCTCAGATTTATTTGATAACAGCTAAGTTATAAAGAATTAGTGATTAATGAGACTTACTTTAGGAATCACTTTAGGATTGTTGTTGTAGGAACAGGAGCTGAATATTCAACAGAAATTGAAACCAGTGGCTTAAATCGATCAATTTTCTCATATAGAAAAGAAGAAACAGTAAATAATATGGTGAACTCTGTCCCAATACCAACATGGTGGTTGTGGCTAGGGCTAGAAGGTCACATTTTATTGATGTGAAAGTATTACAGTATTTAAAAATAATTAATGACTATCAGGTATTAGACTTTGTATTAGGACACATTTATTGATCAAAATGTGTTCTTAGAGGTAATCTTTAAATATAATGTAATCTATTGAGCATCTATTATATCCATTACCATGTTTTAAATTTTTCCTTTGGCAAGAATTAACCTTTAACATTTATGGTCCTATTATATAGATGAAAGGCCCATGGAAATTAACATAAACCCTAAATATTAGCTTAGTTAGGAAATGAATCTAGGTCTCTCTGCTTCTCCCCTGTACCGTACCAGTTCAAATGGCTTTACCAGGTCAGTCCTCAGAAAGACCATCGAGGGCAATGCAATTACAACCAGGTATACAAAAGAGTATTGCAGCCTAAGATCTCAGGCTTACTAACAGGAATATTTGAAGACTCACCCGGCAAAGTAAACTGAAGTGAACACCATAAAAACTTAAAACCGCTAACTACTGTGGAAATAAGAATATTTAGCACATCCCTATTTAAGCGCTCTTCACTTCAGTTTTTTCATTCTTCAACTCCAGGAATCATCAGTGACTTACCTTTCTCTGTTCAATGTCATGCTAGATGTTAAAAATAATTTACCCGGAAAGAAGTCAATAGGAGGTGAGACAGAATGCTGCTATTAGTACTGTATGGAATTTCTGAGCGGAATATTTTCTCAATAGTTTCACTGAACATGCCGTTGCTTCCACTTGGTTTTAAAAGAAAGTCGAATTGAACTGCCATTTGAGATTACAAAGAATACACAAGACTCAATCTGGGATGCTATGCTTAAAACACAAACAAAAATGTCATATTATCTAATCAACGCATCAAAGGCATTATTCACAAACCACTCAATATAAAATGACTGTATTTTTAGAGAGAACCATTAAAGATGACTTTTTAAAAATACTAATTTTTATACATGGGACCTTTAAAATCGTCTATGGCTCTCTTCAAATGACGGGTGATTAGTCTGTGCCTAACGTCCCCCCTTAATAATGAAAGAGGGTGAAACAAAAACTCAACATGTATTCTACTTACTCTGCCTCTTAAACAACCTGCTTTTGCTTTATCCATCCTTGGAACAGATCAAATTTCAACATAACCTAAGAAATACCATTACAAATCAATGAATATTCAAAGCAAAATCAAGTTTAAAATAAATATATTTCAAGCATCTCCTTTTCTTAAAAAAATTAACTTTCCACTGCACATGTTTACAAGATTTAAGATTGGGTAAAGGGTTCAAGTCTGTAAGTCTAACACAGAGCATGATGGTAATTCTCCACTTTCCCTGAAAGGCCGAAAGAATGACCCAAACTACTAAAAATATTTACTACAAATATGCCCAAATCCAGTGATTTAACTAATAACTCTGAAAATGTTTCTAAGACCGTGAGGTGAGATAAAAAAATATGCTCAATATTACAGAATATAAACGAACGTTTTTCTTTCTGAATTCTGAATACTCTATTAGGGTTTGGGTGTTTTCCCAGAAGGTAATGCAAATCTTTATTTTATCTATACAGATATGTCTCATGTTTTTTATTCAAAATTATTTTATGATTATGCAATGTCCCCAGTGTCACATACTACGATTGTAAATGAACTAGCACCATTTCAATAAGCTTCATAAAACAGTCTAGCTAAATACCCATGAACAAATCACACACGGTCAAAACAAAACTGTAATAAAAATATTTAGTGAAAAGACACATTTAACTCCCATTTATGGATTTTAAAAATACAAATAAAATTTTATCAATCTGATATTCAGCTTGTAACTGGCTCAGTACATAGCCTTGATTTATTTCCTAAAATCATACTGTAGCATCTTTTGAAAAATTAAATGCAACTTTATACCTTCATTAGTAATGTTAAAAGAGGTAAATATTTAAACAGCATACTCATCCCTGGGTTTCTTTAAAAAAACTGAAAAGTCTTAGTGTAAGTTTAAAATTTTAATATTTATAAATTTAAAAAATTTTACACGTGCTGAATGGTAGCAGTGCTAACATTTTGTGACCATCAAACCACAAACTCACTGCATGGAGCTTCTTTCTTTGTACAGAGAACCAACTCACAATACCAGTATTTGCAATTTGTAAGAATCTTATGTGGTTAAAAAAGACACCACGCCAGGAAGCCTGGGCTCAGAACACACTTGAGGTCAGATCCCCATCAGGTACATGGTGTGGATGCAGTACTTTTAATTTCAGGCTAGGAACATTAGCTATTAGTACACATCTGACAGCTCCTAATAGCTAAGAGGCCTACGAATATAGAAGGAAAAAGAGAAAACAAAATCTCTCCACTGGCGGGAAGGCCTGGGAATAAGTGAAGAGCAAAGCCCAGTGGGTGAGGTGGATGAAGACGGCTTTTGGTGTGGGTCTCAGAGTGTGGTGTGCCAACCGCACCTCCCAGTCACCACTGAAGCTGCCGCAGAATACTTCGGTCTTTTCTAAGAAGAGAGAGCTACAGGCCAGAACACAACACTTCATCTGTCCTCTTTAAAAAAAGAATGGATGCCCATTATTAGGTTTATATCTTTACCTGAACCAAATATATTCTTTGGCTAAGTATGTTATGGGTTCCCATTATCAATCAGTCAGGAATAGTTCACATTTCTCACATCTAAATTTAAATATTTAAAGTTCAGCTTTCACCAGGGCACTTCAAATCAATTTGAGCTCA